TCTCTCTCTCTCTCTCTCTCTCTCTCTCTCTCTCTCTCTTTCTCTCTGTCTCTCTCTCTCTCTCTCCTTACTCAGGATTTAACACAGGGCTTTCACAAGGAGCAACATTCCCTTAGATTTTATGTAAATTCTGAAGTAGGTCTAGCTAAGTTGCCTAGGCTGGGCTCAAGCTTTTGACCCTCCTGCCTCAGTCTTCCAAAATAGGATTGCACAAATGTATCTCCATAAAAATCCATCTTTTTAAGATGTGCAAAGTCTTCTTTTTAAAATATACTCACAGAATTGCACAACCCTCACCGCTATTTTATTTTAGTACTTTGTCATCATCCTCCAATCAAAACCCTTACCCATTAAAAGTCACCCCTTTCCTAGCCAAGGGAAACACATTTTCTGTCTCCATGAATTTGCCTATTTTAGAAATGGTCCTATGGGAAGTTAGAAAAAAAATTGTATGATGAATTTTAAACTGTGTGGACTTTGATCTTCACACTGACTTCATATTTTGACACTGAATGCACAAGGACCACATATAATTTATATAATGTGGGAAGTCTCACTATTCACCTCCCTGGTCATCTGCTGGTGAATAATTAATACTCTAATCACATAGTTCTAATTATTCCTCTATCCTTACAAACAGCAGACTCTTAACGCCCCAAATTTTTAGGCATAAAGTGTTAAAACTCCACTTATATCTATGAAATAAATGGACTGTTCGTTAAAATATTTTACTAATTTTTCTAACACCATATAGAATACAGTGATGACAAGTGAAAAACATATCAAGTACCCCGAGAACTATTATTATTTTGTTTATTGTATTTACCAGTTTCTACCCCTACCTATAGTATTTATCGGCAGATACTTCATTCTGTAAGCAGTGCTGTTGAATATGGTTTTAATTCCCAAAGACAAAGGCAGAGCAAGGGAAAGCTCCACGTTTTTGGAAATAGGTCTTTCCAGTCCTAACATAGTCATTTGTCCAAACATTTTGCTCCACTAGAGCTAGAAAAAAGCACCTGCTTTCAAAACTAGAACTGGCTATAAATGAATAAATGAGAAGTTTACTGCTCAGGCTATTTTGGATTAAATGATATATATTTTCTATTTCATAGGTCTGAAAAACATAAGAAATAGGAGAAGAAGAGACGTCATATTGGCCCTTTAAAACTGTGTTTCTTCGTGAAACATACTATCAATATCACCATCAAAACAAGACTTACAGTATGCCTACGGTGTTTAAAATAAGACAATCAGTACGGTAATTACGGATGATTGTGTTTACTTCATTTATTGTAGGAAACCAACCTCATCAAGTAACCTTTCCATAGTGCCTTATCATATCTACTCACAAAGTTTTCTTAATTCAGTAACAGTCATGGATCGTACAGGTGTCACAGAATTTCTGGGAAAGACAGCCAACTCTGCATGGGTCGGAATGGCTGGGTTGTTCGATATATAGATAGAATACCAAGAGTGCTTACAGAATAATAAAATAAATTAAACTTTCATAAAATATTAAAAGTACTGAAAGGGAGAAAGAACCCCTACAGCGCTGGACAGTCACAGCACATACATCTCTTTTTTATAGAAATGGAGTCACCTCCCATGTTCTTAGCAGGATCTATACCCACACATATACACACGCTTCACACAGATGTGTACATGGGATTAAACTTGTATTAACAACACACTGCCATCTCCTTCAAATCTTCATCCATTACTTTGGAAATAACAACACAAAGCTGCCTTAAAATCATGTGTTAAAACTTACTGAGCTGTCCCTCAAATCTCATACTGACTTCCCACTCTGTTACTTAGAAAGCACTTATTTTGTGGAAAATAAACAAATTAATAGAAAGAATATTACCCTGTCTTAAAAATAATTCATGTATACGTATATATACACATCTATAGAGGATTAGATATATTTGTAAAATTGAAGGTAACATATGAAAATGTATCACATTCTTAATACATGGTGTCTGTGAAACTGAAAGTAAAAATTGTGGATTGTATTTTGAAAGTCAGTCATTGTTTGAATTATTATGAACATATACTCCTTTTAGTTATTTAAATTCTTGATTTTCTCTGCATAAAGCAAGTATTGAAATCAAATACTGTAATTCTGCTGAGGTAATTTCTTGATTATTCAGTTCATATTTACAAATAGTTGGAGGGTAGGTAACTAGACAGGGTCTGAGGAAGGCGAGACGGAAAGGGGTGTAATAAGAGGTCCAACGGTGGCATTTAACTACAGGGGCATCCACTTCTAGGAGCTCTGTGAAGATGAGCACTGGGTAAGTGCTTATACTCACTGAAGGACATGAACGGAACAAGACACTGAAACTCTTTGAAATGAAAAAAAAACTCTCCAAGCATTATCAAGGGTCTTCAACCAATTCTCACTGGCTCCAAAGAGAACAGACATATAGAAAGTAAGAGAGGAAGCTGGAGAATATACAGGTATGATTAACATTTTTTCTGCTACCTGGTACAGCCAAATATAGGAAGACAGGTAAGTATTGGAAGTCTCTGTCATTTTGTCCATTTATATGCAAATTTTAAATCCCACTATTTTGCTACAACTAAAGGATGACTAGATTATGAT